ATCACCGACCTGCCGCCGCCTTCTGCGAACCTTCTCTTCCCCGACTCGACACTGCATAGTCTTCAGCGAGCCCGGCCGCTCCCGGCGCCCATTCGCTCCTCTCCTTCACTGCTCAGTTGCCCTTCACTCCGACTGCCTCGTTGATCTTTCACGTTGAACTGCGTAAACATTGGACCAGAACGGATCGGCCTGTCCGTTTCCTGGTCTCATCCTCAGCCGTTCTCGCCCTTAGGCGAAGTCACTACCGCACTCTCTCAGCACTCGGTCGCAAGGTGACGCAGTGTAGTCTTCTACTCACCCAACACCCAGTGTGTTCATTCAGTCATGGCAAGCTCAACTCGAGGTAAATGGTCAGCAGTTGGCACCATCGTTAGCGCGCCCATTCGCGGCTTCTACTATCCGGGCCGTGTGAAGGCCATTAAGCGGTCGGTTGATCAAACGGCCTCTTCGCCGCCACTCTATTCAGTCATCTTTTCTGACCCACTCGGATCACTCACCGACCAAGAGCCCAGTGACGATCAGGGGCTAATTCTCGATTTTACTGGAGAGCAGCTCATCGGTCGGGGCTTCGGGCCCATCACCAGTGCGCTACTGTGCGAAAACCAAAAGGTCTACATAACCCACCGAGGCCGTGAAGTGAGCGCCAGAGTTCTCAAACACGAACAGGACGATATGCTTCAGCTAATCCTCGATGCAGACTCGCAGGAAATGTCTACTAAACTGAGCGAAGTTCGTCTGCTGCCAAGTCGCAAGTCAGGACGAGTCCAGGAACACCCTGATTACAGTCTTCTCGCCAGTGGTCGCCGCTCGCCGACTGAATCGGAGAACGAAATGAGCAGCGGGACCATAAGCGGCAGTGCCAATAGCACCTCTACGCTCACCGGCAAAATGACAAAACAAGCCGGTTCCGGTCGCCGACGAACCACCTCATCCTCTTCCACAAGTCTTCTCAGTTCGGAGTCTTCCATCATTCTTTCCTCCGCCAAGGACCATCCAGTTCATACTGTTTCGGCTCACATTGACGTGCCCTCGCAGTCAAGGTAAGAAAGTTTTTCAGTATTTATATTTACAAAGAACGATCCAGTTCTGCAATTCTCCGGAATAAGTGTGCTTACCTGCGCAACACTACCAGTAGAACTGGCCACCACTACTTACTCTCCTAACTGACCCTTTAGTGACCCTTGACCTGCGGTCACATTATATATATGCTCGATACCAAGTGGCTACAGTGTAGTGAAGAAGGGCCTGCAGACGACCAGCACACCACGCAACACACATTAAATACAGGCTCATTTC